TTTTTTTGTGGGGCTATTTGAAATCGCGTGTGTACACAAACAGACCAGGTGATTTGGAAGAACTTAAAAACCGTATTCGTTTTGAAATAAATCAAATCGACCCGGGAATGCTTGAACGAAGTGTAGACGGCGTTTACACACGCTTAGGACAATGCCAAATGGTACAGGGTGGGCAATTCGAACAATTTCGCTAGACTTACACAAACATTAGTGTAATTTTACTCGTTTGAAATGTAATTTTGTCAACTTTGTCCTTTTCGGAGCCATTAATAGTGTAAGTAGACAATTATCACTTATAAGAACTTAAGGTGCATTTTTTTTAAAAAAATTGTTATGTAAGACATCGAAATTTTCACACCGTTGTTTAGATAATTATCACTGTCATCAATTTCGAACGAAAAAAATACGCGTTGTCATTTAAAAAAAAAATTATGTCATCGCTGCCGTAAGTGGATTCTCGAAAAAAAATTTTTTCCACATAACAACGTGCCCTGGATCTAATAAAAATCGACGTGTCTCACCGTTTTTCGAAAAAAAAATTGTTTAACGAAAATATGAATTTTATGCAGAACTTTTTTACCACGCTGTATACAAATGTGGCACTTATTTTTGACAGTTTTTGATATATTTGTATTTACGCACATAAATGGACCTCGCATACTGCATATTCAAGATTGCCATGATTTTATTGATATTTTGTTTCCAATAAATATTTTGAGGTTTATAACAATTAAAATAACAATAAACAGTAGTTGTGGATTAATTTTCGGTTAATTAAAGTAGGAAATATGCCTATTATACCAAAGAAGAACGTAGTAATATTGTCGAAGTATATTTCAATAACAACAATAATGCTAGTCGCTGTCAGAGATTACCTGACAGGCACACCCCGTCAAGAAAAACTTTCTTGAATATGGCATGTAAGTTCAGACATTTTCATACATTGGAAGACAAAAAGCGAACTAGAAATATTAATAATAACGATCAAGAAATGCAGTTGTTAAATATTCTTTTATGTTGCCGCTAGAGATTTTGGTACCTACTTCTAAATCATGCATACAAATAGTTCTTGAAAATGATAATTTAAAACCCTTTAATGTAATGCCCGTCCAAAAATTAACATTAAATGATAACAATCAAAGAGTAACATTTTGCCAGGAAATGATGGATAAATATGATAATGACCCATGTATTTTCAAATGTCAAATGACTGCTATAAATTCACTGAAAGTTAAATACATAATAGACCGATCGAAATAACTCATTTATAGGAGAAAAAAAAAAAAAATTGTTACCTGGACTTTTATAAGTGGAAATGGTAAAGGGGCTTATAATAAACGTAAAAAAAATAAATGCGTGAGCAGGGGCGGCGGAGGGTTGATTTGGGGGGTTGAAAAGGGGTGAAAAATGGTATCATTGAGATTTCTGGCGAAAGTTGATGTCAAACAAAAAAGTATCCAATACAAAAGTTATAGATCATGAAAAAATCTACAACTCTTGTAGAGGGCACTTTTGCAGATAACCTCAAAATTTCCGAGAAAAATGCGAAAAACAGGTTTTTTCCTTTTTTTTCGTTTTTTATTTCTCATTTCCGCAAAAATAATTTAATTTTGACGAAACTTGGTGAAAGTATACTTTGCTGTGTCTTAAATAACCACAATTTTTTTTAGATAAAAAAATCAAGAAGTTTCCGAGATATTCATATTTTCCGGTCTGAAACACTTTTTTTTCAAAGAAAAATTCTACTTAAAAAAATCATCGTACAGAGTTCTGCCGGTAATCATTTTTTTCGTTTTGACATATACTTTTTGGTGAAATAAAAAAAATTGGAATCGCAGTTCAAAAACATGCTCAAAAATGCAAAAAAGAAAAATGACTCTTGCAGAAATGAATTTTTCAGTAATTATTGTTGATAGTTTGTTTAAATTTAAAGAAAATTCAAAAACTGATTACACCATTCGATTGTACGGAAAAAATACAAAAGAAACTGTGTCTCATTGTTTGACCCGAAATTTTATTTTTGTACAGTATTGCTATAAACATAATATTTTTTTTTCGTAGGATCGATTAATGTACTTATTTTTTTTAACTTTGAATTGAATTCATAGATGTATAAGCGACTCTTTAATTAAATTATGTAAAATTCAGATTTTTGCTTTCAAAATTTAAAAAATATTTACAAAGGATATTTACAGTTAATAATACTAGGCGAATCTTGGTCTTTTTGGCAACTTTTTAAATTGATCTTCATCGTCCTATCCTTCATTAAACTGGGTTTCTTCCTGATCTTCAAACGTTTCTTCGATATCACTTAATTCTTCGGTTAATTGATCTTCCGGGTTCAAGCAAAGACTGGGCTGCTCGATTTCATTTGAAATGTCTTCGGAATCACTGAAATTTTCTGAAATTTTGTCAAGGTTCAAACAATTGTCCGAACCATGACATTTTGTACATAAATCTGTACATCGCAGTCCATGTTTTCGACACCCGCATCTATTACCGTCACAACTGGTTTCGCAGCTGCAAGAGATTGTTTTTATTAAATCTTCAGGAACGACTGAAACTTCTGTAAAGCGAGGCATGAGTATTTTGGAATTATTCGCAATTACTTCTTTCCAGCCCCACTTGGTTGCAGTTATTTTGTTTCCAAGCCACGTCTGAAGCTGAAAGTATGCTCTATAGGAGTGTTGTGTAGCTGCTCCGACAGTTGGTGGTAATTTTTCTAATTTAAAAGTAGACTTTGCAGTTAATACTTTGTATTGCTGAAATCTCAAATCATCCAGAGATAATTTATCATTTGTGCATTTGTAAATAGACGAAATTAATTTACAACCATTTCGAACAATGACTTTTGATTCTGCATTAGTCTCATAAAAAGGTTTTACCAACGGTAATAGATGCGGGTGTCGAAAACATGGAGTGCGATGTACAGATTTATGTACAAAATGTCATGGTTCGGACAATTGTTTGAACGTTGACAAAATTTCGGAAAATTTCAGTGATTCCGAAGACATTTCACATGAAATTGAGAAGCCCAGTCTTTGCTTGAACCCGGAAGATCAATTAAACGAAGAATTAAGTGATATCAAAGAAACGTTTGAAGAACAGGAAGACTGGGTTCTAATGAAGGATCGGACGATGAAGTTCAAGTTAAAAGGCTGCCAAAAAGACCAAGATTCGCCTAGTATTATTAACTGTAAATATCCTTTGTAAATATTTTTTAAATTTTGAAAGCAAAAATCTGAATTTTACATAATTTAATTAAAGAGTCGCTTATACATCTATGAATTCAATTCAAAGTTAAAAAAAATAAGTACATTAATCGATCCTACGAAAAAAAATATTATGTTTATAGCAATACTGTACAAAAATAAAATTTCGGGTCAAACAATGAGACACAGTTTCTTTTGTATTTTTTCCGTACAATCGAATGGTGTAATCAGTTTTTGAATTTTCTTTAAATTTAAACAAACTATCAACAATAATTACTGAAAAACTCATTTCTGCAAGAGTCATTTTTCTTTTTTGCATTTTTGAGCATGTTTTTGAACTGCGATTCCAATTTTTTTTATTTCACCAAAAAGTATATGTCAAAACGAAAAAAATGATTACCGGCAGAACTCTGTACGATGATTTTTTTAAGTAGAATTTTTCTTTGAAAAAAAAGTGTTTCAGACCGGAAAATATGAATATCTCGGAAACTTCTTGATTTTTTTATCTAAAAAAAATTGTGGTTATTTAAGACACAGGAAAGTATACTTTCACCAAGTTTCGTCAAAATTAAATTATTTTTGCGGAAATGAGAAATAAAAAACGAAAAAAAAGAAAAAAACCTGTTTTTCGCATTTTTCTCGGAAATTTTGAGGTTATCTTCAAAAGTGCCCTCTACAAGAGTTGTAGATTTTTTCATGATCTATAACTTTTGTATTGGATACTTTTTTGTTTGACATCAACTTTCGCCAGAAATCTCAATGATACCATTTTTCACCCCTCTTCAACCCCCCAAATCAACCCTCCGCCGCCCCTGCTCACGCATTTATTTTTTTTACGTTTATTATAAGCCCCTTTACCATTTCCACTTATAAAAGTCCAGGTAACAATTTTTTTTTCTCTAAGTGTAATTTGGTTGGACTATAAATGCCCCCCTTAAACTCGATATCTTAAACTCTGTCGCGGATACATTCGACACCGCCTAACCATACGACTCGTTTATAGGTCCAAAAGCAACTGTACTTCTCCCTTGTGGCAGGTATAGCGGTGGGATTCACTTTGGCCTTCGTGATACTAGCGCCGAACACCCTGTACAGGCCGAGCAACACTTACAGATTCGTAGGCTGGAGCAATAACCGACCGGAGGAAGGATCGCACCGGCTGAGCGCCCACGGACACGACGGCCACCACCACGATGCCCACGACGAGGAGGAGATGGAGGACGCCGCCGGTCCCGACGAGGAGGTGGGCTTCCACGACGAGAACGACACCTTCCACAAGATGACGGACCGCTCTTTAGCCGACGAGTTGTCGAGGAAGGTGAGGGTGCTGTGCTGGGTGATGACGGGACCGCAGAACCACGAGAAGAAGGCCAAGCACGTGAAGGCCACGTGGGGCAAACGGTGCAATATACTACTCTTCATGAGTTCAGAATCCGGTAGGTTTTGTTGTCCGGAAATATGTAATAACGTCAATTGGTGCATTTACTACAAAACTCATTCAGCGATATTTAATTTATTTACTTATTTTGTACATTTTCCATAATAGGCGAGCGGTTCACCCCTAAAAAGATGCTTCTAAATGAAGGCAACCGACTAAATTTTTAAAACAAAAACCTACAGCATGAAACTTTTTTCTTTTATAGTGTATTTTTTGACAATTTACATATTTTTTTATATTTTTCGGCGTGGTCAGTCAATTGTTATAAACAAAAAAGTTGTAAATAAAAAATTACTCGCCGAATAGCTTTGAAAACAGTTTTTTAACATAAAATGAACCAAAATAAACGCTTTTTGTTATTTGACAAATCTAAAAAACTACTGAACACAATTTAATTCTAAAAAAAGCATAATAATCGGCAGTTCTTCTACTTTAAGATATATTTTTTTGGTATAGGTCAATTATTTTATTTAAGGTCTAAAGCGAGTAAAAAAACAGTCTTTTAAAGAAAATCAAAATGGCAAATAAGTGAATGGAAGCAGGCTACAAATAGTGAAATTGTAACTCTAGATCCATTGACACATGGATGGAAAATCGAAAATGGTTGTTTGGATTATTTCGAAGGAGAAACTGCGTTAGATATGCTTCAAAAATATGTTTGTTCACGTAGTGGAAAATGTTCTACGAAAAATTGTAACTGTTTGTTATCGAACCTGGAATGCTGTGTAGTCTGTGCGTGGTCAGATAAATGTCAGAATGTTCCATTCGAAATTGATGATGAAACGCTTATTTCAACTCAAGAACTTGTCGAAAATAACGAAAAACTTATTATTTAAAAATTAAATCAAAAAGAAATTAATATACTTTTATTGCTCTTAATATTTTTGTAAAATAAAAATAAAATAATTATCCTATACAATAAATTATCCAATAACTTTTTTATTTTTCGAGACCGCTATGTCAATTATTATTATTAGGTTAATTTTACAATTTAAAAAGCTTATTTAGTTTAGTTTTGGTATAACTTTCAAGTCAATTTTAGCCATTTATAAAACCAAAAATCGAATATCTAAATTTTACTAATTACTTGCAAAAACCTTACTCCGGCTACAAAACCAAACAAAATGATCTTTTGAACATTTGTACTGTTAACATATATCAATTAAAAAAAATCATAATAATGTTTTTTGTAAATATAATCTAATCCAAGATATTGTAAAAAGATTATTTAAATTGGAAGTGTTATCATAATTTTCTTTAAAAGACTTTTTTTACTCGCTTTAGACCTTCAATAAAATGATTGACCCATACAAAAAAAATATATCATAAAGTAGAAAATCTGCCGATTATTATGCTTTTTTAGAATTAAAATCTGTTCAGTAGTTTTTGAGAAAAAAATTCCGAAAGTTTGTCGATTTCGTCACTTTTTCACATTAAATTTTAAATATCTGGGAAACGAAGCACTTTTCGAATTTTTGTCAGAGAACGAAAAGTGTTTATTTTGGTCCATTTTACAATAAAAAACTAGCCATTCGACGAATAATTTTTTTACAACTTTTTTTGTTTTAACAATTGACTGACCACGCCGAAAAATATAAAAAGAATATGTAAATTATCAGAAAAATACACTAAAATAAAAAAGTTTCATGCTGTAGGTTTTTGTTTTAAAAATTTAGACGGTTCATGCCTTTTCCTTAGGGGGTGAACCGCTCGCCTATAAGTAGTTAACCCCTAAATATGTGGTGAAAAAATCAGGTCAATAATTATATCGAATACGTAAAGTAGATATTTGAAAATTGCTGTAATTTTATAAAGCATATTTTTTTGTGAATAGTAATTTTTTTTCAATAACTTCAGGTGGGATGTTTTTCATGCCATCAACAATATTAATATCTTCTGCAATTTTTACTGGAGTACCTATTTGCGGTATCAGAAAATCATAAAACATTAAAAATAAATGTCAGAATACAAATAAAACTAACAATACGCATTTTTCGGCATGAAAAGATGACGGATAATATAAAACATGAGAACATGTACCTTTCCTGTTTTATTATAATTGATTTGTAAAACTACTCAATAATTTTTATTAATTCATGTGTAAATAGTATCCTAAAACCATTCTGCTGGGTGTGACTATGTTTATAATGCCGTACGCGTTTATCTGTATGTCTAATAGTCGTGTAAAGTTCAGGAAACGTAAGATAAAAAAATATGTTTTTCCTTAATTAAAATGTGTTGTCAGTTGTCTCACACCCTGAAGAAAACTCGTATGAGTAGTACTGTGAAGAGATATCGTTTCTGACTTGCTTTTTTAAACAATTAGACAAAAAATTCATTGAAAATTGCGCATAAAAACGCCCGCCTTATAAAATATCTAAAAGTGTCTGTTTATAAATACTCCTTTAAAACCCAACGTAAAAGTGATATAAGCGTGCCGCAATGACTTTTCTGTATATTTTTATACATCAGTTATTATTGTAAATGTATGCACAAAACATTCATTACAATTACCCGCAATTCACATAGTAGCCGGGCGCAAGGCACTTGTTTTCACAGCGGCGAATGTCAGTCCGTACAAACAAAAATGGATAGCAATTATTCTGGTGTTCAAAATATGTAGAAGAAAATAATAAAAAATAAATTCCAAATACATATGTGACTTTTTTAAAATATTAATATGTGAATATGTTATAATTATCATTTCTTCTTCGCATGTTAAAATTTATAAAGAATTTAGTCTTCTTATTAAAAACATAGACAAACAATTTCATGAATTACGACAGAAACAACAATCCTTAAAATTCTTTTTCGTGTTCCAAAAAACACTAATGGTGGACAAGGCGGTGACAGGTACACAAATTAAATATGTATTTAGTTAACCATAAATAATAATAATAAT